TTCCTTTTTCTCCGACTACAGACAGGGAAACAGAGAGATGCCACATTAACTTGTACGAAGCATAGTATAAATTGCACTATATCAGAATCGGTCTTGTCTGTTTATTGTGGATGGCTACAAATGCGGATAGATTAAATGGTTAATTACATACTCTTCCTGAAGTGACGATACTCTTCACATTATTTGCTTTTCCGCTGTTGAAGTTATTGTTTGGATCTGAATCCTTTCAGAAGAGAGGTAGATCGAGGTAAGTCTTCGTTTGGTTTGAAGGGGCTTAAAGGAAAATTAATTTCACATTGTAATACTTGTAAAATAAATCCCTCTAATTCTTTTCTCTTATGAATTAACCGAAAATGGCTTGAAGGCCGGTTTCCAGTGGTGAATAGTTATCACTTATGAAGAAGAATGATCATATCTTTGTCAAATATTTATTGTCACGCTACTGACAAAAAGGGGTTTATATTTGTATCGACGTAGTCTATCAAGTACTCAGATACTAGGGATATTTATGCTAAGAACAACCATCCTAGTTGGGATGAAATGGCTATGAAATTGCTGGAGATAGCTAGTTCCAAGGTCATCCCAAAATCAATTTGCATTTAGATTCATGTGTTTGTTTGGATTCTGCGAAGCCGTTCTGTAATTTGATCTGTACTTCTTATTGGGAAATCCATATGACACTATTTGTTACATCAGAAATAAACTTGATAAGATTTTCAGCCATGTGTATTATGCACACTACTCCCTCCGTCACACTCACTAAAATGCACACACATTCTAAAATTCAACTATTTAAATATTTTACCAATAAATATTTTATTATAAATTAAGTTTTATTTGATGAAAACAATATCATTGGATTGTTATTTAAATTACTTTTATATGACTATGATTTTGTTGCTACAAATATTATAGTATATTACTATGTGAGAAATTTAAAGTTAATTAAATATTAGTCAAGACTGTGTCAAGTTCACTCGTGTCTTTGTGAGTGAGACGGAGTGAGTAAAACGTAAAGTTGGGTCACACACTCTTGGAGGTTGAAGTAGATGTTATTACATGGTGAACTCCAAAATAAGTATAGCATAATCAGGCATCATCTTTGTGTAATCCATCCTTAGCTTGATCATCAAGCTCTTTGTTAATTAACATCTAAGATGTCCAGTTTACATGTGAACACAAGACCAAAGTCCCAGATTTAAGTACTATATATATAATTCTCATTGATATCAAAATATGTTTTAGATAAGAGTGAGTTTATCTTTTGTTGTAGCTTGCTTACTTGGGTGTGTGTAATCGGTCAGCTCTTGCCTGATGGATATGCGTAATTGGTTGTTGAGTATGCGTGACCTCTCCATTTGATGGTTTTGTGCAGCGACGATACATCTTAATTTACACGGCAATGATGAATGATTACTTCGTAAAGGCAGAGGTGTTGGCGGAGTAATCTTTATCCATAGCTCTAAACAGGGTCGATCCAGAGTTTTCACAGCAACAAGCTATTGCCGATAACATTGAAATTGCGTCTATAAATTATAATATATAAAAACATTGTAACCTGTTAGCTTAAAATTTTTCGGATATTTTTAGATACGAAGTCCTTGATGATGATATCAATATCGATTCTATCCAATAGTTTGTTGACGACATGGATTGATCATTTACAAAACTAATATTATTTACAGTGGTTTAACTCATATAAATTAAATTATGAAACTATATAGCCGAATTTAAAACCTTACCAGTTTGATAATCGTTGGTGTCCCGATGCATACTGCAAATAAATTGACTACACACCATTGGTCCCCACGATTTGGGGGCAGCGGTTGCACTGCTCGCCCCCCTCCATGGACGGCCTTGGCTCTAAATATAAGATAAAAAAATACAATTTACTGTCCCTTTTTATCTACTCGGTACGAAAATGAGTAAACCTCGCCAAAAACTATCAAAACTAGGTAAAAGAATAATCTCTCTTTCACCTATTTAATAGCGATTTTGACCCATATCTATGATAATTCCACTTTTTCTAGAGAGTAAGGAACAGAGGAGAAACAGTGGACCCACATAGACAATGGCAGATTGGAGAGCTATGGCTCAGATAGGAAAGATTGATCCTTGTTGTCGAAAGACACAACAATTGTTCTTTAAAACAGTAAAGTAGCATATTGAAATTCAAAACTCTGTTCTTACAGCCTACCCCTATGACAAGTGGGTTCCACCACAGTCAAAACCTCTGTCAAACATGATTTTTCTTATTTTGAAAGTAAACACTCTGAAAACTTTTTTTGTCAAATCTCCTTTTGACCATGCTAATTAGACTGATGTAGCTTGACAACATTATCACATTATGAGCAGCTAGCATGGCAACATTGTCAGGTAAAAATCCTAGCCACATCATTATATTTTATCGGTGTAGCAATATTATCTTGCTATGCCGGTGTTTGAAAATAAGTTTCTCATGGTTTATTTTGAAATTAAAAAGGTTTAAAATAACAAAATATCACCAAACTAGGTTGGGTCGATGAGATTTATTCGATATTTTAGCTCAGCCCTGAAAGTTAAACAGAACCAGGGATTATAGGACAGGAAATTAACCAGATTTTTCCTAGAGGTAATTTGTGAAGAAATTTTAGTTACAAATATAATTATCCAGATTTTATGCTAATGGGTTATTTTCATTTTAGAAAAACATCTTGGCGTAACTCAAAAGGAAAACTTGATATCTCCCGATCTTCCTTGATATCAGTGTCCCCATCCCTGTTCTTTTTTTCTTTACAGGATTGTCTATCTATTTGTCGGGTGATTTCTAAGAAAAAATCACCCATATTTTTTCTACCCTTAAATTTACATCCAACAGACTACAAAAGAAAATAAAAATACATATTTAGTTACACAATACTTTTATCAAAATTACAATACACTTACATGTCATAACAACTGAATTTACAAATATAATTTTAGTTATATAGGATTGTAATTATATATATTAAAGAAAATAACAAATAGATATTTATTCACACAACATTGTTATCAAAATTACAGTGCACTTACATGTCATATCAATTGAATTTACAAATGTAATTTTAGTTATATAGGACTGTAATTTTATATTTTAAAGAAAATAACAAATAGATATTTACTTATACAACATTGTTATCAAAATTACTGTGCACTTACATGTCATATCAACTGAATTTACAAATGTAATTTTAGTTATATAGGACTATAATTTTATATATTAAAAAAATAACAAATAAATATTTACTTACACCACATTGTTATAAAAATTACAGTGCACTTACATGTTATATCAACTGAATTTACAAATGTAATTTTTGTTATATATGACTGTAATTTTGTATTTTATTTTTATTTTAGTTTCAATTGAGAGAGAACGAGAGAGAACAGCGTGTATATCAATTTTTTAGAGCGCAAAAAAACAAATTAGCGCCTCTAACCCGTCCGATTGAATCCTATGCGGATTCCCAGCGCTATATGTGCAGGAATCTTGGCACTTATCGAACAGCCTAAAAAACGACAAATCCTATAGAAAAAATCACACGACAAATCTATAGCAAAATCGTTGCTAAAAAACTTGCATAATCTTTTCTCTCCAAAAATTTCGAACTTTTTACCGTTGGACCATCTTGAGATTCATGACGAGAGGAAATCTTTTTTTAAAAAAAGATCACACACAGCACGTACTAACGAGTGGTCGAATACACGATTGGAAGATTGATAGCCAACAGGGCTACACAACATTTTTTGATTTGTTATATATGAACGAGAATTACGTACTTCCTCCATTTCACAATGTAAGTCATTGTAGCATTTTTCACATTCATATAGTTGGTAATGAATCTAGACATATAAGTATATCTAGATTCATTAATAACTATATGAATATGAGAAATGTTAGAATGACTTACATTGTGAAACAGAGGGAGTATTAAACAAATACAGAATATTGCTTTTGTAATTACAGTTTAATTATAATACGTTTACATCTGAAAGTTTTTCATCTCTACTATTATAAGATGTTTCTGCTGATACTTTGATACATCGACTCTATTTAAGTCGGTTTTTAAATCCGTTCGCTTTTGACAACACATAACGAGTCCCTATAAGAAATTCTTTTAAAAAACTTACATCTCACTTAGGATGAGAGTCGTACTTTTAATTGCTTCAGAATTTCTACCAAGCCATAGGAAAACAATATATAGGATACGGCCATAATCCCTACAAGGGATCCGAACTGAATATCAATAATATCTCAAAATAAAATTCCCATATACTTTTTTAGACAAAAAAAATATCTAACAATAATACGATTAAAATAGCCTTCACCCGTAGTAACGCACGGACATGTTTTCTAATCAAAAAATATCTAATGTTATATCGCTACTCCTTTTTTTTTTTGGAAAAATATCCAAAAATCCCTATCTGCATCCACCTTAATTTTATCCCACTCACTATCCTACTATCTCACTTTCTATCCATCCCCTCTGCCTCAAATATGAGTCAAAAGTGTATCTCTATCTCCATTGCTCTCCCATATGGTGTCTTCCCCTGCTTTTTTTTCTTGGGAGTATAAGATCGATAAGATATAGAAGGATGAGATATATGGCACAAAATTAAAATGATATCTGAAGCATGCAGAGAAATATGGAGCCTTTAAAAAAAGTATTATCTTTCTTCAGATTTAGGGAGTTAAAAATAGGGAGATCGATGAAGATACCTTATAGGATAACAAAAAGCCCGTCAACGCCGGACATACAGGAGAGAAGAGTCTTGAAGTCTTAACAAGGTGATAGTGATTTGCGCACAACTTGCTTGAGAGAGTAGGTAAACAACCTAGTCAGTCAATGCCCCCCTCATCAAGGCCCAATTGTCAGCAGTACGGTCTCCACTATACATCAGTACATGAATGTTCTTATCTGTGCGACAGTGGGAGTGTGGGATGATGTGTATATATAAGCTTGGGCATTGTCATTTGCAGGGGCCAAGTTGCGCGGGGTTGTATTGACTGAATGGCGCTCTTGGCTTACTTCACCGTTTTCGTGTTAGCAGCATCTGTTCCTGCCACCGGCCAACAAGGTATGCTTTTTCGTTCTTCCTTTTTCCGTCGATTGCGCAATTCAGCCCGGCCCTCTCTAGTTTTATTGTTGCACGCGTGTTTCAGTAAGCAAGACATTCAAAATTATTTTCGGTGACTACTGTTTCTATCATCTATGGAGGTGCTCTGGAATCTCCGAAATATAAAACCATGTCGATTTTGGGTCTGGCCATCTCTAAGCTAAATTTGGGTAAACTTAAGAAAACCTCTCCAAACCATCCGACTAATCAAACTCCCCTACAATCTGGCCAAATGATGAGCCCAGGGGTGGAGCTAGAGCAACATGCATGGAGGGGAGGGGAGGGGGGTGTGCACCGCTATATATTGTATAGTATTTTTTTTTGTTAGCAAATGGAGTAGTAGAACACTACTAATTTTTGGCATCAATAATTCAACATAAGCAAAAGTAAGGAAAAGAATATTCTTACCGAAATGGAGAATACCAGTGACAATATTGTTCAGTAACTTATATAGTGCAATAGTGAAGATGGTAAGACTAAAAATCACAAAACAGTTTTGCTCGAATTATAGAACTACAAATCTAATACTACCTCATTTAATGAATGAAATCATCCATTATTTCCAAAACAAGAAATAATATCTCATCATCTTAATAAGTGATAAAATGGCCTAATTTCTAATTTAAAAACGTCAACATATAGCCTCCAGATCCATAGCTCTTCCGTCCCTTTTGCTGCTCCTTTTTGCTACCGGCCGAGGTCGATGGGGCTCGCATAGTGGCTTCTAGATCCCGACCATCTCGTTGCTCTCCTCTGTGACCACCATGTACGGCCATGTCACTAAAATAAAGCTCAACCCCCTCTTCTAGCCCTTCCCACTACTACAAAACACCACATAAAGACTGACCTTATAGGTGCCTAAAATCGGCACCAATAGTCTTCCAAATCATCGGTGCTGGTTTTTATAATAAATCGGTACCTATGAACATTATATAGGTGCCAATTCATATAATAACTGGCACCTACAAGTGCGGTGCCATATGTACCGGTTTTTATCATGAATCAACACATATGGACTTCACATATGTTTCGTTTCTTAATTAAAACCGGCACTTATGAGCCCATAGGTGTCGGTTTATGATGTGGAACTCATATATGTGCATTTTTTATCTATTGTTTTCATATAATGGCGGATGAAAACAAACTTTATATTAACTGTAGAGCTCAATGAGACCTACACCTTTTTTATGACTTTTTGATTTATGGCCGTTTCGATATCTGAACATATGTTGTAAGGTCTTGGATCTATTTGCGTAAGTGAATATTTAAAATTTATAAAAAATTTCAGATGGAGACGTAACCTATATGAAAGTTGTAGATCTAAATGGGATCTACAATTTTTTAGTTGACAAAATTTTCATCTAAGTTCATATATTGTGTTAAATATGTTCGGATAGCAGTACTCTCAAAATAATATCAGTTGTTTTTAAGACATGTGTTTGTAGGTTCGATAGTAAGGATGCTTTCGATGGAGAGAGATGTCTTGCTTGAGTCATATGTATGAATATAGGTGCCTTGTGGGAAGTGAATTGTGACCATATAGGTGCCTAATAAAATACCAAATATTTATTCAGATTTTTTTAGCACCTTCAAAAAAAAGCCGGGTACACCCCTATATAAACTGGCACCTATAGTGTGACATAGGTGCCTTTTCAAGAATCAGCACCAATGACTATCCAAGTCATTGGTGCCGAATAATTTGTGTGGCACTGAAATCGGTACCTACTAGAAAATTGGCGTGCCTTTTGGCATGCCGGCTGATTAGCTGGTTTCTCTTTGTAGGTTTTACTAAATTTTATTTATTTTATATAAGATTAATTAAAAATGTTATATTTGGCAGGGCCTCCAAAAACGTTGTGAGTAGATAAAGAGAGGAATTATTGCATTGGGATTTGATAACTGCTTATATCTACGGTGTTATGTCAGCCGGTGAATATTTCGAAGTATGGGTGTGAATGTTGGGTGTTTGGGATGATATGTACATATATTGGGTAGAGCTTGGTTCATCAAGTACTCTCTCCATCTCAAAATATAAACATTTCTGAAGGCTTCGTGAGAATTAAAAAAATATGTGAAATAAAATATGAAAAAAATTAATTGTTGAGAAGATAAAGTAGGTGAAAAATTAAATGGGAGATGGTTGTGATTGGCTTCATGGGAATTAAGAAAATATGTGAAATAAAATGTGAAAAAAAATAATAGTTGAGAAGATAAAGTAGGTGAAAAATTAAATGGGAGATGATTGTGATTGAATTTATTTTTTTTAGAAAAAAATATTTTTTAGGTATATTTTTTATAAATGTGTAGACTTAAAAGTAAATATTGGAAAATAAATTACAAAGAAAAACCATCGAATTCAACTACAAAATTATGTTTTGAAATTCAAAATTTATTTGTGGCTAATAAGTTGAAGAGCAGACGAATTTTGCAATTATTTTGTTGTTTATGCTATCTTATATGTTATTTACGCTAATACCATACATGCAAAACTCTTGTAGCAACGCGCGATGTTTCATCTAAATTATAATCAAAACAAGTAACAGGTATATGAATTAATGATGGTTACTTCAAGTTGATTACTCCTTCAGTTCTATTATTATACAAAATCTAAATTTCATATGGTTATGGCAACAAATATGTAAGTCATAAATGAATCTATATAGGGGTATCAAAATTTGTAAGGGTCAGAATTATAAAAATGCAGGAGGGTGCATATCAGAATTTTGTGGGGTCTTCTTTTTCCATTCAAGCCGAACTGTTGCGTGTGGTCTTTTTTTTTTTTCTTGGGACTATTTATATTTATATTTATGACGTCATATTTTTTATGGAAAAATAGTTAACATGTTTTTACATTGTAATTGTAAGTTACTAAATTACATATGTAATTTTATTGTATTTACCATGTAGGTTTTAAAATTACATATGTAATTTTCGTGTATTTACAATGTAAGTATAAAAATTACATATGTAATTAGTCTAATCACATAATGTAATTATTAGTCTAATCACCTTGTATTACCATATTGTAAGCCTGTTTAATAGGTCCAACCACGTGAGGCCCAATACGAAAACCGAATAGTCCTACACCAGCACCGTACCTATCTCCACGCGCATCGAACGGTTATAAAAAAGTGGCGACAGAACTATAGCAACACCGTTTTTTATATCCGAGCCGAACTGCTTTTATCTCTCCGCGTGGCGTTCGCCGCTCATTGCGAGTCGATCTTTTTATCTCTTCCCTTGCCCACTCTTTTTTTCTCTCAGTTCCTTCGCTCGCCGTAAAAATCGCCATGGGCCATGGCTGCTGCTCTCTCTCCCTATCGCTTGCTTAGCTTGTGCTAATAGCTCGAACTTGATTCAGCGATGGTGGAGGATCAGGCAGCGGTGCTCGGTGGCCCGGCATCGTTCATTCCCTCCCTTCCTCTTTCTTTCTCCTCACCAGCTTTTCCTTCAGCCACGTTGGCCCAGATCTGGCGGTGGATCGAGTCAGGGGATAGCTGTTGAGAGGTGGCGAGGGTGGTGTTCGCTGGATCCGGGCCAAAGATCCTGCCGTCCTTTCCTCTATCCTTGTCGGATTCTCCATAGTCCATACTCGGTGACGGCATGGTGATCAAGCAAGGGGAATCTATTGTTCTTGATGTTTTTATTTCTTTTGCTTGGATTCTTTTTTTTTAATTTTTTTCCCCTCTAATCCCGACTGTTCTAGATGAGATTGCACATTTTGTGAAGGATCCGTTGAAGGTTTTTTCACCATTGATATATTATCGGACGGCTGCAGGATGGTTGGGAATACGTGGCACGTTCTCCGGCCGAGAATCCGGCTGGAGCTCTGGGCGTGGTGCTACGTGGCCCAATGAGGAGTCAGGGTTGTAACCCTGAAATCGGTTTATAAGATAGGACCTTTAGAACTGGCGCCTTTGGGCTTTTCTGTAGTAGTGTCCGCCTACCTCCGTCATAGCCCATGATGTCATGGATCACACAAGAGAGAAATAGAGGTAGACACATGACGGAGAGAAGAACAGGGGAGGAGACATTGACATATGGGATCTAGAAGATTTGGAGAATGGAAAATGAAGATGCTGGTTGAGTGTGTAAGTAATATGAAGAGAAATTTATTTGGCTGTTGCCAAATGAGCACATAGAAAGTTGTTTTATGTGACTTACATGAGGAAAAAGTTTGATTTGTGGCATTCAAAACTGTCTCAAAATAAGTTGATCTAGAGCTTTTTGCCTTGGTCCTATTTGAGAAGCTTAAGATTTTAAAGAACAGCTAGTGAGAAAATTGGAAAAAAAGATGATTTTTTTATCTTTAATTTTCTGCTTTCTAGTTCGTTTTCTGGATTCTATAACTATACCCCTCATAATCTGATTGAAAATATGAATTGTTTAAAAAACTAAAGATTTTAGGAAGAACATATAGGTATGCATGCTACTCCAAACAGACCTAGTCTCTAGATAGAGTCCAAAATGATTTTTATCCCTTGCAGCCAAGCCAGGATTTCGATTATGAATGGGCCCAGCAAGGGATTTATAAGAACATACATAAGAATATTCCCGAAAGAAAGACATACATAAGCATATATTGTACAAAGTAATGACTAATCTACAAAATCAACACTCATGCCATAACCTTTTGTCGTAACATGAGAAGGTAAGCGGGCGCCATTGTTAATTGACGGTGCACCCACGCATGCAACCGCCGCCTCCTCCACCTGTACATGTCCATCCTATCGACGCATAGAGCCTCGGCTGGGAGTAGCACCTGGTGGTGGCCATGACAACGGCATCGAACATTTCCTCCATCTCCACCTTGCGGTCGCGCTTGCTTCTCACCGTCCATCGCAGGTCCACAGCGAGCCATCACGCTGCCGCGGCAGCGCCCACTGCTTGGGGAGCCGCCGCCGCCGGATCTGCCACTCAAAAACACTACTAGAAAAAGCATTTCCATAGTCGGCCAAAAC